TTGTCCGACAGGGGGGACTTGAGCTCGTAGGCTCGAGCTGGGAGAAGGGGTTGTGAGGGGGTTCCCCCTCCCAAATGAGATTTTTTTAAAGAATATCAACCTCTAGATGGCCGAAAATGGCACTCTCAGACTGTGACAGACATGTGTTGGCTTGGTGTGCGCCTATTTTTATATGTTTTATGGTCTGACTGCCTGACGAGCTCTGTCCGGCGGGGGGGGCCTTGACCTGTCCAGTGGGGGGCTTAAGCCCCCCCTGCCACCCCGCTGGCGCCGCCACTGTATGTACTACAATAGTAATACCATACGCAGCAAAAGTCCATGTTAAAATCAAAATGTAATTGCAAACTTCAATGTCTAATTTATCAAAACGTAGGCGTAAATTTCTCAAAATGAAGTTCTCATTTTTTCAAAACGTAGTTCAAACTTTCCAAAATGTAGTTCTAATTACTTTAAATTGTATTTCAAATTCAAAACGTAGGTCTGACTTGATGAAACGCCCTCTCCAAATTCTGTTCCAAAACGTAAATCAAAACCAGCCGAACAACACAAGACATGTGAAATGTAAATCAAAACTAGTCAGCCAAGTGTGACATGGGCCTGTTCCATTAATGATGGGGGAATCATTTGCATCCAATGCCACTGAACAACGCTTCCCAGTGCGTCTGCTAATTTTTAATGGTCAGGGTACCGCGATCACGAGCCCTATGCTAGGCATTATAGGCTAGGCTTATGTGGGCTGGGATTCGCAACAAGGTCTTGGACTAGGCCTCTATACTATAGTAGGAGGCCTGGTCCTAGTCTAGGCCTATAATATAGTAAAATTCTGTATAAGTAGTCATATGATTACAAGCTTACATTGTACCAAGGTTAATATTAACGATCGCATTTATTTTTCATTGAAAATTTAAAAAAATCTTTTAAAAAAAATAAATTTAACTTAAGGATTTTAAAATATTCAAAAAAAACTGTACACTTAAAAAAAAAATTAAGTTAATTTTACACAAACAACGCGATAGGATATGAAGTTTGCGAGAATAATTGGTATAGGCCTACTTGTACTGTATTTTCTGAAGTGCCATTCGTTTTGGGGTTGCTACAATCAGCAGTTGTTACAATCAGTGGTGTCATGCTCGGGCGCTGATGGAGGGGGTGGGGGATTGCCAGGGCCCCATGCGCGAGGGGCCCCGACATTGTAGTTTTAAAAAAATATAATATAAACTATAATACCGTAGTTTCATTCAATGGGGCCCCCGAAAGTTTTAAACAATAAATGCTGGGTTCTGATGTTTGAGATCATGCTTCTGATTTTGTGATCAATCTGCTTTGCATTGTATATAGGCCCTACGTTATTAAAACATGTTTAGTTCTCACTAAAATTGGCCTATTCTCTGTATTTATTTACACCTAGAGTACATTGGCCTACTGTAGGCCTATACCAGTCCGATAGTCATGTACCATTCTATGTTCTCTAACAACGCAGTTAACAGTTAATCTCCAGCAAATTTTAAATAGCATCCAAAATCCTCCTTTTTGGAATGTAAGGAAATAGATAGTGCTTTTCCTTTGTTGGATCGATTGTAACGCCTGATTGTAGCATTGTGGCGGTGATGGTGTAACCCCATACTTCGGTTTGGGTGCTAGGTTGGTGTTTATTGGTTTTTTTTGTTTTTTTCCGGCTTTTTTTTTTTTCTTGACTTCAATATTGTCAAGCGCATAGAGACCTTGTTTATTTGCACTATATAAATCCATCTATTATCATTATTATGTACAATTGGAATTAATGCAATTATGGTACTAATTGTAATAAACAAAATAGTATTAAAAATAAAATAATATAAAATTAAGATAAATAAACAAAAAAGTAAAACAAAATACTGATTATTTATATTCAATGCTTACCAAGGCTGCTGGACTAGGTGCACAAGGCATAGCTCTTTCTGCTGCTGGAGGTGCTGTCCAAAGAGGACAAGAAAATCAAGAGAAGAAGAAAGAGAAGTACAAAGAGGAACAAGAACAAAAACCAAAACAAGAAGAAAAGAAAGAAGACAAGAAGAAGAAAAAAAAATCGGTGTGTTATTGTTGCATTATTACGTGCCAAAACCGCCAATGATTTCACATTTTGGTTAGTGTCCCCTTAATATGGGTATCCATATTCGGGGGACACCCTATCATTAAGACTCTTTTTTGGTCCCCCAAAGGCTTCTTCTAGGGCTTCTGCTGTATCTTCATGATGTATTTATAGACCTATTAAAGACTCATTTGAGCAGGTTAAATATGTACTGTACTTAGCCAGCATCAAAGTATTGAAACATCATCTGGGCCTACATCACAATAGCATTAAATTTGAAAATATTAATTTCAAAATTAAGGCCTCTACTGCTGTGTCTGTATGAATGCGCAGTTTTGAAAACTCTGAAGTTACGACTGAGACTGGAATAATGCGCACAAACTGGAGAACTATTTACTCATCCAAATAATGACTACAAGAAGTTGCTTGAGAAGTCTGAGATCCATTACGGTACTTCAAGATGCCTACATGTTACACAGTTTTTTGTCTAAGTTGCTTATGGCCCTTAGCGGGATTTAATGGAAGCTTTCTAGCGGCCCGAAATTCCTAGCAGTGTTGGGGTTCACAGGTGTACTGTAAAATCAATTGCAGAATGTCAGTTGTTTATTTTTGCCTTAATTATTGTAGATGGATTTACTAGGAGGAGCATTGGTTGCCGTTACAGCTGTTACAGTTGGTCCGTATCTATTGGGTTTTACTGGAGCTGGCATTGCAGCTGGATCCATTGCAGCAAAACTCATGTCGGCTGTAGCCGTATATAACGGAGGAGGAGTTGCTGCTGGAAGTACTGTTGCCGTACTGCAATCGGTAGGGGCTGCTGGACTAAGTGCGCAAGGCATAGGTCTTTCTACCACGGGAGGTGCTGCAGTTGCACGTGGAGCAAATATTCTCTTGCAAAAATTCAGAGGAGGAGGCAAAGAAGAAAAGAAAGGAGTGAAAGTAGGTGATGTGGAAAAAGAAGAAATAAAAGTGGAAATAGATGAAGTAGAAGTAAGAAGCACAAAAATATACAAAAGACTACCTTATAATAGAATTCATTTATTTATTTAACACAAAGGTCCTGGGACTTCTAAAGAAGCAATTGCCTCTGTGACTCAGTGAGTCAGAAGTCTCTACACAACACCAAAAAACATTTACAATAAAATAAAATTTATGAAATAACATATTAAAAAGTCGAAAATATATCTACATCTGATGAGTAAAATGATATGCTTTAAACCTACTTAAAAATACCTTAACGGTGCAAGCGACAGCATCATCTTTAATTATACTTAGAACAGATGACTAATACGCATTATGTGAATAATAAAACTTATATGATTCCATTATCAATAAAAAAAAAACCCCAAAAACGTGTTTGAAGAATTTGGTAGCCAGATCATCACAATGGGCTTTGAAGGTGCTGCAGTGTATGTTTAGAGCAACATATCCTTAGCCCCTGACCAAACAGGGTTAGCCAAAACATTATACAAATCAAGGGGACCGGGATCGCGTCGAGGTGAGCTGCCCCCCCCTGTTCAGGAGTAAAACCACAATTCATTGGGAAGAAAAAGATTATACCATATGTATTTTCTACATTTTAGTAGACTCCAAATTTGATTAAATAATCCTTTGAAACCCCTAAATTATATTTTTCGACCCCTAAACCACTTTCAAACTATTTTGAGTGATGTCTCACCACGTGCACATCAGCCCCTCCCCCTCCCCTTCCTGTGTTTTGGACATCTCCTGGGTGTTGCGTATTCTTGAAAACCGTGTACTATTATCTATTTAAACCTTTGTGTTATTTATGGGCTGTGATTCATATATTATTTAAATGTAGACCCCTAATCTGCATTAGTCCTTACATAATGCATCCCTAGAAAAGAATGTGTGGTGGGGTAGAAGCCCCAAAACTCTGTTATACGATTTAACATTCAGTATTATTTAAAATTTTAATTGGTGGTTTGTGTTTCAGTGTGTTTACTTTATTTACTTTATTGCTTTTTAGATTGAATTTGTTGAGAGCCTTCCAAAAACTGTAAGTGCCAAGATTCGGCGAGTGGAATTGCGGAACAAGGAATGGGCCAAATACTCGCAGAACAATGATTGAGCCAAAAGTTTGCCAGTAATGGAACAAAGATTAGACCAAAAAATTGATGAACCTTAAGTAATCATGAAACAATGAGTGGGTCAAATTATTACAAAAACTACACGATGCAAAAATGAGGAGTGGGTCAAATAATCATGGAACAAGGACTTAGATAATACAGTATGCACATTAAGCATGGTTTCCATAAAAATCACTACAAGCTGTCACCGCCTAATTTTGTGACGCTGATTGGTCAGTTGAATTGGGGAGAGTTTCTGATTGCGTCAGGGACAGCTACAGTGCAAGGATTGCAGTGAAAACGCTGTAGCGACTATGTAGCAATTCTATGGAAACCTGTCTTTACTGTCTTAGTTCATTATTGTTGGTGCTATGACCATAGCATAATCAACATAAAGTTCCATATGAAAATAACCTAATATACAGTATTTTCACTATCAAAGAGGCTTTACTGTCTTAGTTCAATATTGTTGGTGCTATGATCATGGCATAATCAGTATAAACTTCCATATGAAAATAACCTAATATATTTTCACTATCAAAGAGGCTTTACTGTCTAAGTTCATTATTGTAGGTGCTATGACCATAGCATAGTCAATATAAAGTTCCATATGAAAATAACCCAATATACAGTATTTTAACTATCAAAGAGGCTTTACTGTCTTAGTTCATTATTGTTGGTGCTATGACCATGGCATAATCAGTATAAACTTCCATATGAAAATAACCAAATATATTTTCACTATCAAAGAGGCTTACTGTCTTAAGTTCATTATTGTTGGTGCTATGACCATAGCATAGTCAATATAAAGTTCCATATGAAAATAACCCAATATATATCAAAGAAGCTTATACTTAGGTACCTTTAACAGTATAGATGTAAAGAAATAGTTGGATGTCCAGTTACTTTGCATATTCAAGGCTATTATATAGCTATGCTATTTTGTAGGACAAAATATAATTTATATTTTTGTTAACCCAATAGAGTTTAATATAGCATAATTTTCTGCTCTCTTTCATAGTACAGAATGGGTGTATTACTCTATGTACTGAAGTGACTATGATTTTTGCCCACCCTAGATATTTGATAGTATTTTTTATTTGAGAGCACTTGAAAATAAATATAAATAATAAATCATTTGAACATGTCCGACAGTAGGGTTGGAACCAAGGGGCTGACTAGAGCCTCGATCAGGGTCCCGGAATAAAAATTCCTGGTAGGATTCTTGGGGAGAGTTTTCATGGCTTAGTATGGCCCAAAATTGTGCTTTTAGACCACAACATTAGCGAATGGCAATCAAAATAGCGTTTCTGATAGGCAAATTAATATTTTAATATCGGTGTGGCATGGGGCGCCACTACTGTGTACGATGTGTGCTATATCAGTTATTACGCCTTCAATTTTTTGGTAAACGGTGCAGTGATGCTCTTTGTGTTAATGAAGATTGGATAATTCTAGGTTCACAGTTATTATTTTGGCATTCTGTTGTGAGTGCCTTGAGCACTGTATCCAGTTGGTACAGAATATGGTCATCTTATTACTGGGTAATAAATGGAAGGTTATATAATATACAAGATATAATATGATCACAAATCCAAGATCATTTCTTCTTCCATATATCAAGCCTGAGTGACACATTCCTAATGAGGAAGTTTGCATCAGCAGTGAAGTAAATATCGGATGAATATTTAGCACTGTGGTCCCATGATTGGTTCTGCTTGTAGAGAGTTACATTGGCTGTCTGCCAAATTTCTGCAAAACAAATGGAAAGAGAAAGTGAAACTAACATGATAAACCTACTCCAATACCTGCTTTCAGAATTAGTTAGTTGTACTTGAGTTTTTACTGGGCTACACAAGTCAGCCTTTGCAGAGCTGGTGGTAGCATTTTTTTTTTTTTAATTTTTTTTTTATTTGTAGTTAAGTTTTTGCTCTCTTTGTTATTTTCTGCTTTTAAAATGTTTTTGTAGATAAGAACTGAACCAGTTTTGGAAATCAGTACTATGTATTGAAAGTGTATATTCAGTATAAAGAAAGAATAAATAAAATAAATAAAATATCTATTATGATAAGAGTACAGAGTATCAGCTATACCATTTGTTATAAAATATGGACAACCCTAAAAAATCAAATTAAGCATTGAATATCTGATTTTAAAATGATCAAGTATTAACTTTCACAGACCTGCTGAGACTCGCACGTTCAGGGTCTGTCTCAGTCTCACACATAAGGACCAAAATCTCGCGCATAAATGTATTGCGAATATCAGTCTAGTTTTACTGATTGATTTCACTTGCATTTCTTTTTCATAACCATATTAGGCCATGGGCTGGAGGGGGGTGTCACTGTGCATCCCCTTTCCACAGTTAAACTTCCTTGGTATCATTTTGTTCCTTCAGGCATATAGAACAAAAAAATTGATGTTAACAAGAAAAATATAGGGATGCATTGTATGTACTTGCGTCATTTGTAATGGTCGTTAGTGTTTTATGGTCAATTCTTTTTTCGGGGGGAGGGGTAACATTTATGCCCATCAATGTTATTTTGGTAGCAATGTGTAGCATATGTTTCTAAATCATATGCAGTTTAAATAAAATTAATATGACAATTATTAAGGTCACTAGAGGTCAAAAGGTCATCAACCTTTTTCTAAAATGCAAATTTTTTCATAAAATATCAATAAACTTCAATGTCATATGTCTAATTTTGGATGTATTTGATACAAATTGTGTTTTTCTTGTAGTTATTAACATATGGAATACAAAAATTGAGGTTAAAAAGAAAAAAATTAAAATGCATTATGTACTATTGTCAATGTTTATGATCCGAGAAATTTGTAATCAACAACAGTTTTTGGGGTAGGGGGTAACATTTATGTTCATAACTTTTAGTCAATGGATTTGTATGATGTTGGTATCAACATTTAGCCTATAGGTTGGTCAGTCATTCAAATTGAAAAAATTTTGAAACAGGCAGAAATTGACGTAGCTAGAGGTCAAAAGGTCATTGACCTCCACAGAAAAGTTGTAAATTTATTCCCAATTCACTCACAAGCGTTTACAAATCTACAGTTGTCAGTAGATTTGATTCCAATTAGTATTTTCTATTATAAATAAGCATATGGAATATAAAACAATGATATTATCAGGAAAAATGTATAGATTAAAAGTACCACTGTCATTGTGTTATTAATCTTAGAATTTGTAATCAACAACAGTTTTTGGGGTAGGGGATAACAATAAATGCTCATAACTCTTGATTTACTCAATGGATTTGTATGATATACGAATAAATGAATGAAGTCCTATAAAAGTCATTGTGTAATAAAATGCCTCCGAC